AGCTGGACTCCCACATGGCTGACCACAGTTTGAGTCCCAGACCTGGCAGATTGCTTTCTCACTTTCTCTCTTTCTTTCTCTCTCTCGTGAGTGCTTGTGCCCTATAGCTAATTAAAATAATAATAATAATAATATCATGAAAAAAAATAGACCCATGAACTTTTGAAGATACTTGTATATTATCAATATATGTATATAAATACCAATATAAATATATACATGTGGGAATATGATATATCCTCTTTTTTTTTTTTGAGAAGTTTTTTTCTATAGGGTGCATGTGCTCACCAGACAGAGAGAGAGAGACAGAGAGACAGAAAGCAAGAAATCACCCCCGAGGGGATGGCCACGCTGTAATCCCTTTTCCATTTTCCACTTCGAGATCTTGGGCACACACACACACGCACCCGGTGTGTTTAAGCCACCGGGTCTGGGACTCGAACTGTGGTCGACTACATGGAGATCCAGCAACATAGCCATTACGCTAACTGCTGGTCCCTGGAAATATAATATATTCTACCCTATGTACTTATTTGATATATTCACTGTGTGTATAATAATATGTAAGTGTGCACCGGTGAGTATCAGTATGAGCAAACATCATACCCTAGTGAGGTCCTAGTCGCCAGAGAACCCATACCCAAATAAACTTAGGGTACAACTGCAGGGAGTCAGACCCAGTGTTCTTCAAATTCTACCGTCTCACTTCACGGTGTGCTCAAGTCTCACTTGAACAGAGCCTGCTGTCCTTAAAGGCCACCTCTGCAAACAGGAGCTGCGGTGTCCCTTTGTAGAGCAGAGCGGCCGCGTCACCTGAGGATCCTGACACAGTTTCTCGTCCCTGCTTTCCCATGGCAAACTGGGGAAGCAAGGAGACGGCCTGTACTGGGGCTTCTTCCTCCCACACTCAAGGAAGAGGAAACCAGAATAGCTCTGGGGAACCTGGCCCCACAGTGGCTACGGGGCACTACCCGTCTCTCTCCCCCAGCTCCCCGGCTAACGGAAACAAGACCATCCCTAAAAGAGATTATGTGCCACCAGCCGCCATGGGGCAGTGCAGGCAGGATGGCTGAGGGGCCGCTGGGGTGGGAGTGGAGGAGACATTTAGTCCACAGTGGCGCAGCGAGACCCATCTGCAGAACACTCGCAGAACTGGCCAGGTGTCACGGAAGGGAAAGAACAATCCCCGAGGAAAATGACAGGATTCTAGTATAACAAATCAGTTTAGAATGGGCTCCTGTCAGAGGTCCTCACACCTCGCTCTCTCAGAATACCCTAAGGAGCTCGTTAAAACCAGAGCTGCTTGTCCCCCACGCTTACCTTCCCACCCACTCCACCGCAAGTTCAACAGAATCAGAATCTCCAGGACTGAAGTCTGAGAACACACATTTGCAACAACCGCTTCGGTAATTTTCTTGTTCTCCACTGTCCTAAGTCAGTCAGGTTCAGGAATATTGTCGTAATGGCCAGACTGGTATGAAACTGTCCAAAGATGCCCAGGGAGGTGTGGGAATCTCATGGGCTTTAGTCATTACTCTTTCTTTTGGTAGTTTTAGGGACTTAACATTTTTTTTAATTGCTGAAGAGCACATGCACTCACCAGAAAGAAGGAGAGAGAGTGTGTGAGAAAAAGAGAACGTACCCCCAAAGGGGCCTGGTCATCCTGCAGTTTCCTTTCCTCCATTCCTCCTTCCCATCAGGGTTCGGGCAAGCAGGCACATAGGCCCAGAGTGTCCTTCAAGCTAGCAGGGCTAGGACTTGAACTGCAGTTGGCCATGTGGGAGCTGACTCCTAATCCAGGACACTCAACCACTGTGCTACGGGGCTGGCCCCACGGTCATTTTAAAAATCTTGGTCCATCTGAGGAGATATAGACCATATCTTTTGTGAAATTAATTTGTTTTTGTTTTTCCTTTATGTAATGTAGATTCAGTAACCACAAACTCCATTTTAATCAAGTCATGTATTGGACCGCATAGCAATATGTAATGACTTTTCCAATGACCCAAGAGAAAAGAAAAGATAACCAAGCTGCCCCGCATAAGCGTTTCTTAGAGAATGGTCCTTCCTGACCTATTCAAAATTACCTGAGTCTTGTTAACAATGTGACCCCAGAGATATTCTGATCCATTTAAAACAGAATTTCTAATAAACAACGAATATTTATATTATATATATGTATATAGACACGCAATTCACCATTTAACCATGTTCAAGGGTCTAATTCAGTGGTATTTTTGATACACTCAAAATATTGTATGACCATCACCTCTATTAAATTCTGGAACGTTTTCATCACTCCAAGGGCATCCATGAAGCAGTCATTCCACATCCTGCCCCTGCTCCAGACAACCACTCTCCTGTCTCTGTGAGCTTGCCTAATCGAGACATCGGTAAATTGAACGACATCATATGCAACCTTTTGTGTCTGACTTGGCGATTCTCCTCTTTGGGATACAAAGGATTCTTCAACACGTTCAAGGAAAGGGTGTATTATGAAAAACTATGCATGGATTTCAAAAACGTGTGTGCCCAAATAAACCTGTACTTTAATTCCACTTCGCTGTGAATTTGCCGAAGTCCTTTCATATACCCAGGAGACCGATGGTCGAACAAAAACTTGTCCACTCAACAGTAGCGCTACCCATAGTGGCCAAAAAGTGGGAAAAGAATCTAATGCACATCAGCTGATAAATGAAAACCAGAATGTGCTCTATCCAAACAGTGAAATATTACTCGGCTGTAAAAAAGAATAAAATATTGATCTATGCTACAACATGGATCAACCTCAAAGACAAATTTGTTAAATGAAAGAAAGAAATCACCCTGTAACATATAACCCCACTCACAGGAACCAGCCTACATTTTAACTTTTGACCCCACAACCCACGATGCAGTTCCAGTGTAGCAGTCTTCCAAATCAACCAACAATTTGGACTGTGTCCCTGGCGGCCCTGATGTCTCCATCACTAAAAAAATCGAGATCTTCTACAACTTGGTCATACGGGGAAGCAATAACGGTGTGGGTGGAGTTGGAAATCATACTAAAAGGCAAGTGATATTCGAGTCATATTCAAGCGGATAATGAATGAATATCAGTAAAATATTAGGTCGACTAAAATGTCACGACTTCCCGATGGCCTAGTAACTTTTCCTGAAAAACCCAGGGGGTAATGCTAGACTAGACGGGGGTGGGGAGGGAAGGATCGTACCTCGAATCACTATAATTCTACAACAGATTCTTTTCCTTGACTAAGAGGTTGTATTTCTATTTTGAATGACGCTGTCACAGTTAGTACGACACTTCTTAACTGGGCTTTCTTCCGCATATATTTGGAAGTTAAACATTCTGATTTGGTTTCATGCAGAGACTAATGAAAACTCGGGAACCTTCGTCCTAGCATCTCTGAGATTAGCCTTCACCTGACAGGGAACTGGCAGGTTTCCAAGGTCTCTCTCTCCTTAAGATGCTAATCAGCCCCGGCCGTCTGGGGATCAATGTCTCCACACAGCTCGGCTTTTCTTTTTTCTTTATAAAGCTCATTCGGGGGCCATCTTGGTGGCTTTTAATAAATGGGTTCCCACTCAGGCGAACACAGGCGGGTTTCCTGGAGGCTGGAAGGGGTCCCTGGCTTACCGCTTCCATGAGCCCCTTCACCGTGGGAGACTTCAGCATGAGGGCGTCGAACACGTCGTCGGTCTCCTTCCTCACGTACAGGAGCACTGCAAGGGAACGGCGGGAAGAGGGCCGCGTGACTGGGGGCCACCCAGGGGCAGCTCCTAGTCACACAGGTGTCGCAGGCCAGCAGCATCACTTGGCGAGCCTCTAACCTGGCCCAGGTGACCCCTGACTGGTGACTGACGCACCTATGTAGACAACCTGTGGCAGGTGCAGTTAAGGAGAGAGGTGACAGGGAAACGCAGCAACCGAGTAGCACCACGGGCCGTGAGAGGCTCTGACACGTAGATCCCCGTGTGCGTTTCACGGGGAGGATGCGTGACCTCTTGGTGACATCTCTGTGTGACCTCTTCCCTCTATGGATGAGTTCATTCATGTGACAAGTATTACTGAGTACCCACCGGGCACCTGGGCTGTGGATGCCAGTGAGGTAGTCTCAGTGCCTGCCCTTAAGGAGTTCGGGGTCCACTCGGAGGCAGGCGTTCCTCAGCAAGCTGACGGCTACGCCCAGCGCTCCCAGAGGTGCCAAGCGAAAGGCCTGAGAAGTGGCTAACTATGGCCTAACCCTGCCTGGTGGGGGTGGGGGACCCTGGGAAGGTTACCTTGAAGGAGCTATCTGAGTTGTAGGGGGGTCATATGAGCATGGCTGCAGGCAACTGAGGGGTGGGAGGGGCAGGCAGAAAGAGGCAGCAGAGAGAGCACGTGCCAGGCGGACACCCAGCGTGCGCCCAGCCCAGGAGGGAGGTGGCACCGGCAGAGGTGAGGGAGGGTCTTGGCTTGAGCCAGTGCAGCCCCTGCAGGGGTCCTGACTTTCCAACCTCTCCAAGCCTGGATCTCCTTGAAGCAGGGACAGGAAGAGCTGCCTGGGAGGGTGGCTGTGAGGGCACGTGAAGAAATCCGGCACAGTCCTGGCATTCAGCGGGCACCCAGTCCTCAACCAGGGGAGGCTGGCATGGAGCAACCGTGGTCCTAGTGCCCTCGTGGAAGCACAAAGTGGCGTTTCTATTCATTTCTCTGTAAAGCAGCTCTCTGCGTGTCAGAAGCCATGAGAGATGGCAGGAACCCCAGGTGATCATTAGAGACAGTGGCTCAGCTTTGAGGCTGTGGCTTCCCCGGTTTCCACGCCCCCAGTCAAGCCACATCAGAGCGGCTGCACCCCTGCCTGCTCCTATGCTGCCTGGGCCCCTCCCTGCAGCAGCCGCACTGCAGCTCAGCTCCCAGAACAAACTCAGGTGCAGCCCTCGGCCCGGAGAGCGGACTGCCCTTTCTGGCTCCCTCCTCTCAGCGCTGTGAGGTCTTATTCTTCCTTCGGGAGGAGGGGAGCATGTCAAGCCTGAAACCTCATGCACCTGCACCAAAAAGACGCATCACAGGTCTGGGAAGGGCAAAGGGAAGACGCGAGAATGTAAGTTCACTATTGAAATTGATGTGCACAGCAATACCCTTGATTTGGCTGCCAGGTACTGCACGTGTACTTTGAAAGACCGTATGTGTGCCATAGGGAGCAGCAATGATTAGTATACATAAGAAGGCAGAGATTTTTTTTTTAAATGGTGGTTCCCTGATCCCAACACAGTCGGATACCACTTGAGCTATAGCCACCATCCACCAGAAGAACAAAGTTTGTGCTAGAAAATGAAATCGGCTCGAACACAACTCCCACCCCTGCTGTTCCCCACCCTAATCCCAAAGGACATCATTAAAGCTGCTGCTTTGGCAAAGGCCAAGTCTACACGGTGCACATGAGTTCTGCCTGTTTTTCTTTTTTGTAGCCAGTGGCTGTCCAGCCGGAGTAGGCCAAAAACAAAAACAGGAACAGAAAAAGAACGAGAAAGAAAAAACATAAATTTTGCACGTTTTTCTCTTTACTAAATATGAAAATTAAGTATCAATTAAATACACAGATTGAATGGGCACATTGCAAATGTAGTTCTTTGAAAGGGCTATTTTGCAGCCGCCATTTCAGCCAAGGGTGGCCTAACAGAGGACTCAATGCTAGTGATACAAGGAAGAAAAGTGAGAAGGCCAGGAGCCCACCAACGGTGTGGTGGCTGAGGCAGCTAGATCCCCCACGGCAGACTATGCAGTCCAAGTCCTGGACCTCACGGCCCGAAAAACATGCCGGGCACATGCACGTGAGAGCAGAAAATTCTGAAAGAAGAATGGAGAAGGGGTTTTGGTATGGCCAACCCCTCTGGGGAATTTTCTCACATCCCCTCTGTCTCTGTCTCTCTCCATGAGGGCACATGGCCCACAGCACTTACAGAAAAAAAAAAAAAAAATTAGGTCCAAGTCCTGGACCTCACGGCCCGAAAAACATGCCGGGCACATGCACGTGAGAGCAGAAAATTCTGAAAGAAGAATGGAGAAGGGGTTTTGGTATGGCCAACCCCTCTGGGGAATTTTCTCACATCCCCTCTGTCTCTGTCTCTCTCCATGAGGGCACATGGCCCACAGCACTTACAGAAAAAAAAAAAAAAAATTAGCAAATAGCAGCACTTAAAAAAAAAAAAAAAAAGAATTAGCACATAGGATCTCAGTTTTCCAGATAAGGAAAATTAAAGTCGGGGGAAATATCCCTGGCGGCTCTTCCAGGTAACATTCTGTATTCCTGCAGCCCTCAACAGCGACAAAAGGTAATTTCCAGTAGGCTGACCCTAAGGATATCCTCCACCATATCCTTTTCAAATGAATGCTGCTCCCACTGACTGTCTTCTAAAATCACTGTCTTGGAAATGCTATGGCCCCCACTCTTGCTTCAGGGGTGGCTGGAAAGTGTTAAAGGGACACCGTGTGACACTGATGGCACTGGCAGTGGCAGGAGCTCCACACAGGCAGCACCCAGTCCCTCCGTTCTCCAGTCGGGCTTGCTGACAGCCACACTCAGGCGTGCTGGGCTCACAGGGCTCCCCTACAGCTTGCCCCGGGGGTCAGCTTCCATGAGCTCTGTCTGGCGGAGGGACCGTCGCAATCACTGCCAACAGCAGCAAGGACAGCCATCGCGCATCCTGGGCATTGTGCAGCCAAGGGCAGACAGCCCACGGGGCAGTCCCCACGCCACCCCAACAGAGCCGCCCTGACAAGTGGCTGCAAAGGCAAAACCACCAAGAGCAACAGAAGGGTGGCCATTGTGATTATTCTCTCTTGGGGACTTACGACAAATAAACAAAAAGGACCGCCGCTGACCCTGATGCTCTGTGCTTACCAAAGGCCAGCTGAGCGCCAGCTCCCAACAAGGGGCTCGGAGCCTCTGCTCTCCTCATCCTAGAACAGGCCTCTCAGGAGGAGGTTCTCTCGCTTCCTGGTAGGTGGCAGTGCCCTTGTGAGTCTCTGGGACTCAGCTGTTGCGAAGCTATCCCTTTATTTTAATCATGGCCCATTACCATCTCTAATGGTAAAATTCTGGGGTTGACGTCACAATCTTAAAATCATCTGTAAAGCGGAGACGTGCGGACAAGCCACCTGGCGCTAAGTATGTGAGAATCGCAGCTACTTTGGCCGTGTGAGGCTCGATGTCCGTGTGAGGCTCGATGTCCGTGGTAACTCTGCCCTAACCCTGAAGGACACGGTAGAAAAGGCCTCCAGGAATGGAGGCGAGGACGGATGCGAACAGCTGGTGGCGCGCCTGTGAAGTCAATCCACCTTTTAGCGGTTTATACGTCGCTAATGTAACATTCATGCATTAACCCTCTTTCCATTCTGAAACGCTAATGACTTATTCACGACGATGATAAATGAGCTCAGCTAGGTACAGACCTAATTACAGTGAACAGTTTCAATAGTGAACAGCGAGCGCTCAGCACAGACTAGGCATGAGTCAAGCATCTTCCTCCTATTAACGCGTCAGTCCTCATGGCGACCCTGTGGGGTGGATAGTCTCCTCATTGCATTTTTTTAAAAAGCTTCCCTTCTTTCTTTCACAAGTGAAAGATACAGAGAAAGACAGCACCCGATAGTCTCGACACTGCGATTCGGCCCCAGATCACAGCACGGGCAGGCTCAGCGTGTTTAGGGAGGCCTCTGAACACACCCCTGGCACCCGCCTTGGGGGTCGGCCTCACAGAGCACCGCGCAGCAGCTGCGCCACCATCCGGCTCCATCCCATCCTGCCCGGTTTACAGATGTCAGCTCTGGGTGGGCAGAAGGGTGGAGAACCTCTCCAGGGGCAGAGAGGCCTAAGTGCTGGGGCAGGCCACAGAGGGCGTGCTCTTGATCATTATGCAAAACCCTTTGTAATACATAGGGAAAAAATGCTGTAGTAACCCCCGACTCCAGCCTGTGCGGACGATGGGCATATTTGACACAGCGAGGCGGGTCACTACCAGCACAGAGCTGTGTGAGTCTCGCGTCCCTGGGAGCCTCAGTGTCGGCTGCAGCAGGAGATGGGAAACGGCCACTCCCCAGGCTGTCCTCTTACTCTGGGAAGGACAGAGGCACCGGGCAGGTCACTGGCACACCGAGCTTTGTTTCTACCCTCTTGGTGCAGTGGGATGAGATCTTTGACTGAGAGAAAGCGAGGGGTCGCGACGCCACGGAAAATGAAGGTTCCCTTACTTGTGTGACAGGGACCACTTGCACCTATTGATTCTCATGGAGTGTGATCACCACGCACAGCAAGAGTTTCTTTTTAACCTGGCAGCTCATTTCTGGATGAGTCTGTACGTTCCCTGCAATGCTCCCAATGCAAAGGAAAGAACCAGCGCCCAGGAAGAACAAATATTTGCTTCAGAGGCTTGAAAGGACAGAGTTTAAAGCAAAGGAGGAGGCTGGGAATGTCCTGTCTGAATACAGAACCGCTAGGCGAGGCACAGCGGCCTGGGTGGAACGTCCCCCATCCCCACACTGGGGGACCGGGGGGCTGGGGACACACACACAAAGCCAGTGCAAGCCTGACTCAAGAGATACCTCGCTTCATCCCTTCTTCTTTCATCTGCTTCGAAGGTGCTGGACCAAATTCCTCTTCCATGGGCCTGAACATCCGTTTAACGAGGACACTGCTGAGAGGAAAGATGAGCAGGAGCCGTTAGGGCAGGCGGGTGTCAAAACACAAGTTCACGTGCCAGTCCCTGCCCGGCTCCCCACAACTAGGTCCACCTTCTCCTCGCCCTCGCAGGACCCAAATCATTCCCATCTGTGGCAGAAGACCCACACCTTATCTTTAGGGTACAGACCTAAGGCATACTCCCCATAGCCGAATATGGGCCCACAGGGTGAGATTTCTGGGGTTTCCCGCTCCACCCCTCACCTAGCCCCTCTTGCTGCTCAGAAGATCAGGGCTGGGGGTGGAGGAGGATAAGTGATGTCTGCTGGGTCTCTGGGACACACTCCCCCACCCTCCCCTTCCCTCCTGCCAACTGAGGGGTGTCCTGGCCCCTCTTACAGACAGGCCGTCCAGATTTCCTGCTTCCCACTTCCATCTGGTGGAGCAGATGAGACTGCAGGTTTCCTTAAGAAACCCAAACTTTCCTTTTCCCCAGGAGGGGGTTCCAAGCCCCCTTCCTAGGAGCCCGGGACACTGAGGGGCTGCATGCCCCCAAATTGGCCAGTTCTAATGGTTTGGCACTTCTTCCTAGTCCTGGTTCATCCAGGGCAGTCGAAGGAAAGGAAGGACGATTAGAGAGGAACAGATATGGAGGAACAGAAGCCACTGATGCCAAGAAAATGTTCCAATGAAATTAGATTGTTCTTCCAGTCCTGAAGGAGTAGGTGCAGTTCGGAGAAGTTTTTATTCTTTTTGGGGATTCCTGGGACCAAGCACAGGCCATGCTAGACAATGCAATATAGCCCAGGCGTAAAGACAGGAACTCTGGGCCCAGACCACCTTGGTTTAAATTCCTGCCTGACAGTTTACTAGCCACAGGAGCTTAGGCGAGTTTCTACGCCTCGCTGGGCTTCAGTCTCCTCATCTTTAAGGAGGCTGTGAGAGAATCCGATGGATTCCCATAAAGAAAGCACTCACACGGTTCCCTGTACCTGCAGGCACCACTGAAGTGTTAAGTGAAGAAGCTGATGATGAAAACAAGTTGGAGAGGACTGAGGAAGAGAGTTACGGAGATGAGTAAGACTCAGTGTGAAAGAGGCTAGAGTTTCCGTTTACGATCAGAGAGCGAATAGTCCGAAGTACCACTTTGATCCAACTTAAGGACCAGTGTTAGCAGAGCTCCCGGCATGGAAGGCAGACATTCAATCAATTCCCAGCTTCACAAGGTAATGCAAAGCCCTGCAAGTCCCCGCTGACATTGTCATCATTATGGAGTAATCTATCAATTCCCAAGTCAAGTGATGGGAAGAACTGAAGACAGTCTGAAAATATTCCTGTTACTTCTACTAGTTTACATTGCTAGATCAATAATGCTTTAATTTATCTTCTCATACTCTAGTTGGTCTAAAAAGCACATCTAGCAACCAAAGTCCTTCCAGGTAATACAAAGTCCATTTTGTTTCCTTGATCACTTAGATCTCCTAAGCACCCTCAAAGCCAGACAGGGCAAGAACCAATCTCAGCCTTCTCTCATTAATGCGCCTAATAGAGGCGAAGCCTGTGCTTGGACAAGCTGCTTTTGAGGCAGCAACCTCATGATAAAGTTACTCAATAAATCCGAGGTGATGATGAGTAAGGGTACAAGAAATGGCATTAAGAATAGGCATTCTCGGGGCTGGCAGGTGGTGTGGTGACTACGGATGCTGGACTCCCACATGGCTAACAGCAGTTCAAGTCCCGGACCCAGTGGCTTGCTTTCTCACTTTCCCTCTCTCACTCTGTCCCTCACTGGTCAAATTAAAATAAATAAATAAATAAATAAATAAGGTTGAATAAAATAATTCTTAAAAAAAAAGAATAGGCATTCTCTTATTTTATTCCCTAGTAAGTCAACTTATGAAAACAATTAGAGGGAAAATCTAAAAGTGAAGTTCCAGTGGAAGATGATAGTAACTTCTTAGGGCACTGTTCCTTTGCCTGCCCCTCACTATCTTGTCATAGAAGCAGGTCATGTTACTCTGTCATGTCTGGGGACTGGCGTGATCATAGATAGCTTCAAGACTAGAAGATTCAAAAAATCCAAGCCCACAGTAGTCAGTGGCCAATAGGTTAATAACGAGTAAATAGTCTGAAATGTCACCAGGCACTCTCACGCTGTGTAAGGGTTTTTAAGTTAGTGAATTGCTTTTTTTTGACCAAGCAAGATTTATTTATAATTTTCCAGTTCTGTTGACTTTTGATAGCACTCCATTCTGAGCCATGTCCAACTTTACCATTAAAATAACATCTTGGATAAAGCCCATGTCTCTCGGGAGTTCAAAAATGCCTTTTCACACTTTCAGATCTATTACACTCAGTGGGAGTTAATAAGTTTGTGTGGCTTGAATTCAACTGTTTCTTTTATTTTCAAAGCAAGACAAGAATACAAGGACAGATAAAACTGTCCCATTTGACTGCTGAACAGAGCACAAATTTCAGGTATCCCGATGCCTAATTCAATTACATTGCATTAAAGCACGAAAGAACTGGAGAATGAGGAAAAGGTGCTTTCTCTAACACCAGTCTCCATCCACTGGCACAGCGCAGTTGCTACGTAGAATGGCTCTATATCCCTATCAGCTCATGCCTTTCAGAGTCAGGCTCAGGGAAACCAAGCCCCCGTGGTATAAGCAATGTGTTGTTAAGTTTCATCAGAAACGCATCGGGCCGATGTTAGGTCTGACGCATGCGTCTCCAGCCACACCTCAGAAAGGCGATGCTGCATCCTGCCTGCAAGGCTGAACAGCCCTGGGCTTTGGGTGCTCGGGGAGGAAGTGCCAGAAATAAATAAATAAGTGCGAAAGGGGGTTGCAGGCACCATGCAAACATGGTTTGTCTATTTCAGGACTCTGCTATGGCCAGTGCATACTAAGGGCCGAGAATGCCCTAAGTACATGGAGGTCCCTCCACTCTGTTAGCCTCAGAAAAGAGGTCTTCTTACATTCACGTCCTCACAGATGGACTCTGCACATTATAGAGTAGCAACTGAATTCCTTTATCTTCAACAGATTACTCTTCGAGGAAGTCACCCAAAATGATTTTAATCAATGTTTGGGGAGTTTATAGAATTCACCTAATGGCATCATTTTTTTAAAACAAAGTGGCCACTACACATAGATTTAGTCACTATTACTGCACTTAAACGCTCAAGTGCAATAGACTTCTCAGCAAAAATGATATAAAACAGTAAAGAACTGCCAACCTAGAATTTTATATCTAGCAAAAATATCCTGTAAACAAACAAGAAACAAAAATCAGAGGGTGGGACCACCAGACGGCATTAATGGTTATGTCGCTGGACTCCCACATAGTAAACCACGGTTTGAGTCTCAGACCCAGTGACTTGAAACTCACACCAGGTGCATGTGCATGTGTGCCCAAAATCCCGAGAGGAGAATGAAAAAGAGGGGATTGCAGTATGGCCATCTCCTTGAGGGGATTATTTGTCATTTTCTGTCTCTTTGTCTCTCTTTGTCTTTCTGGTGAGCTCACGCTCCCTATAGCAAAAATCTCTCTTAAACACACACACACACACACACAAACAGAATTCTTTGTCAGAAGTTCCACAATATAAGAAATATTAAAGAGTTCTCAGGCAATAGGAAAGAATGCTAAGGAGAAATAAAGAAAGAAATGAAGAGCAACAGAAAGGGTAAAGATAGCTTATGTGTATAAAAGTTTTAAGTCTTAGGTTTAAATCTCTTAATTTGTAAAATCGCAAATCTCTTAATTTGCTTAAGATATAAGCAAAAATAAATGGTGCTAATGTAAGAAACTAGTAAAAGTCTGTAACTCTGGAGGGTGATAAAATTGGCTTCCACCTCCTCACATATATTTTTAAATCTCCTTTGCACATCTGATGCCAAGGTAAACATTACTGGGCGAATTTTAAACGCAATATCTAAAAGTAAAAGATAAAAATGTATCAATTAAAAGGAGGGGGCTTCTTAGAACTGCCTATGAATCTACAATGATCTCATAATTAAACGTTTAATTTAAGAGTCCAGCCGGTGGCATAATGGTTAAGATGCTAGACTCCCACATGGCCAACCACATTTTGAGTCTTGGACCCAGTGGCTGGAAAACCACTCCAGACACGTATGAGTGCCCAAAGTCCCAAAAGGAAACAGGAAGAGAAGGGATTGTGGCATGGCCATCCCCCTAGGCAGTGATTCCTCACTTTCTCTCTCTCTCTTTCTTGCTATAGCTCTCTAGCGAGCACACCCATCCTATGGCAAAAATCTTAAAAAAAAAATTTTTTTTTTAAATAAATGGGCAGAGACATTGTAGCAATAACTTATGTAATCACTTTTCTTTCTAATATTATGAGACTCAGTATTTGTGTTTGGGAATAAAATTTCCAAGGAAATTTTGGGAATTTTACATATACGGATTTACAAAGTGGTGTATCTCCACTTCGACCGTAGTGAGGAATTGCTCTAATAAACAAGGTAAGATCATGTAAAAAGTAGCATTAGTGATGAGAAAGAAAAAACCTGGCATCAAAGATGAATGATGAAAAATGTATAAGACTTTCATAAATTATGACTGATTATTTCTAAAATATGTAAGATGCCATTTTTTAAGTGTATATTTAATTACAGTAAGAAAGCAAGTATCGGTACAACATTCTCTTCTGCTCACATCTATAAAAGTTTACCTATTTGAGTCGGCCCCAAGGCTTTACTTTATGTTTTAATCTTCTTGGGAAACTGCCCTCCTTTTAATCACTTTATGATCACGTATGTGATAAAACAGCACATAAAATCCTACATTTCATCATTTGCTTGGCATCCTTAAGGACCTTGTCAAAGAAAAGCAGTTGATTATCTGGAAAATCACTGCTTTAAGAGAAATAGTGCCGAATTCTGGAAGAACTTTACTGTCTAACCCTGTAATGACTGCCGTGAACACAGGGTGATGGCTTTTTAGGTTAACGTTATGTTGATTAAATGCACTCACTGTTGACTGGTGACT